AGAACAATTTCCCTTTCTTGAAGTAAAAAAGAAGAAAAAAGAAAATCTGTCTACCGAAGAAAAGATAATTGAATACATTATATGATTACTTCCACACAAAACAGAAACAACAATGCGAATTGGCTCATCTGATCTGAAACTCGCAGCTTTGAGAATTAAAGTACACCTTGAACTTGATTCTTCTTCGTGTTCAATGAAATAAGGTCTTGACTCTCAGCTTTTTTTTTTTACCTATTTTGTTACATTTCTTTTTTTCTTCTTTGATTTTCCTACATTTTATGAGTTTATGTTAGATTAAAGGTGGATGCCCTACCGAAAACTTTGGCTTCGAAAGCTGCAATGTATAGCATTATATATAAGAAAATTCTAAGATTTTTTTTCCTCTTCCAAATGTAATTTCTCAGTCGGATTCATATGTGAGTGAATCAAATCGTAGTGCATGTAAATTAAATTGAATGAAATGCTTGTCTTGCAGGGCGTATATGTTGCCTATTTTTAGTTCTTCATTCTAGAAAAAGAACCCGTATAGATCAGAGATGTTATAAGAAACGAAAAATCAATTTTTTTTTACCTTAGGATGCTCCTTTAAAAGACGTGTCATTTGCTATCAAACTAATATTCTGAAAATTCTGTTAAAATTACCGTATCGTATGGTATTGTCATTTCTGGTAAAAAAAAAAGAGAAAAATTTAATTCTGGTTAATAAACCGGAAAAAAACAGACCGCAAAAAATTTGAAAGAGTTTGCAGAAAAAAGTGATAGCAGATTATGAAAGACGAAATGAGAACTTTATAGATAAAGTATTATTTTCACTGATTAGATTGAAAACAAAATATATAATTTCGGAAAGAAAAGAAAGATTTTAATACTAAATTACAAATTTCACTGCTCAGTTATCTCAAAGAGCACGAAAATAAAAAGTCGAGTTTCAGTATTTCTACATCGTAAGTTGTAGTTTTGAAGTCACTTCATGTCACTCTTTCACATAAAACAGTTTCTGTTTGTTTAGCATCTGAAATTATGCTTATTTTAACCAATCATTTTGCCTTAAAAATAAGTGTACGTTTGAAAAATAGTGTCATCCTTCAAATCAAGTAGCATCAAAATTTTCCAGATTTGGGTTGGGTTTTAATTAAGTTATGAATGCCATTATATATGCCAAGCAAACTTGTTAAATTTTGGATAAAACAGTAGTTCTCTAGCTAAGAGTCATTTCTAGTAGACAAGTAAAGCATTCTTTATGTGTATTTTTCCACGCTGAATACAATAAAACTTAAATCTAGTTGATAGATCTAAAAGATTTTAAGTTATAAATGTTTTTTTTATTGTTGGTTAAAAGAGTACAAAACATTATATTTTTCATACATGAGTTCCTCATAATGACTAGAATAATCGACTTATTTTTAATCTTATTCGATGCCGTGAAAAAAGTACATTGGAAACAATATTTCGCTCACAATTTCAGATTTTAATAATTTTTTAACATTTTGCATTTTATGCATTTTTCAATATGTTTTTCACTAAAATAAAAGGTTTTCAGACAAAATTTATTTCTGTATATTTCCAGTCGAGTTCACATTATTATTTTCGTTTCGCAAAATATTTTTGTAAATCGGGCACTAATGGATTAAGAATGTTTCGTCCTTAATTCGAAAATAAAATTTCAATGAAAAGGGAATTTCGAATGAAATCAAGTTAATGAAATGCGTGAGTCTAAGCTATCTAACAGCCGGGAGCCACTGATAAGTCACGTAAAAAAGTAACATTTCTTCCTGCATGAGTGAACAAAATTATTAGCTGCCATCAATATAATAATAGATCCCATCATTCTATAAAATGGATTTTTATCAAGCAATTTATGCGTGACGATAACTAACAATATTATCGATTCCTTATGTAAAACGCATAACAAAACAATTCTGTTATTTTTATTCTAATGTTCCCCGAAATATATTTCAAAAGTTTTCTACTTCTCATACAAAAAATTACGTCGTCGACCTGTCGAATCATTAAAGTACATATAACTTTGGTTAATATATCAACTGGTTAACATTGTAATGCAATACGTTAAAAATAAATACAAATTTAGAAAGTATATAAAAAAAAATCTCCTGAATAAAAACCCATTACATAGAATCTTAGAGTGCG